GGTTGGGTTGAGAGCTTTTCATACCTCTTACATATATATATGAACTTGTGTGTATATATGTAATCAACACATACATACATGCTGAAGGGTACTGAAAAGTTCTCAGCGAGATGAAGTTGTTCCATTAAAGATTTTAATGTTTGGTCAGTTGGCTAGATTTTGGATGTGTGCTAGGCCAAATATTTCAACACCTCCTTTTGTCTGTATATATATATATATATATATGTATATATATATGTATATATATATATATATATATATATATATATATATATAATATATATATATATTTTAAAAATATAGTTTTAAGGTATATTTATGGGTTAAAGTACTCAATATCAGGGATAGAGCATATGCAAATATAAAAGTGGACATTGAGATCAACACCAAGCAGTCTGTTTCATGCTTAAACACAATCTTCAGGCCATAGTGTTGTGTTTTGGCTTAACTATTTATATATGCTGTTCCTTATGGTTAGAAAGTCTATTGTATTATCCTCACAATTATTGGGTGGGTGGTAATGGTTAGGTTTTAAATTATTCTAGAGGCTTTTGAGTTGAAATAATTGCAGATTTGAATGCAGTTAATTGTAGCTATTTTATAGTGTTGTTTGTTGACATTTTATTCATTATTTATTACTGATTACTTTATTGTTTGTTACTTAATATATTTATTGCGTTTATATATGTATTTCATATTTTGTTTATTATTTACTTAATTTGTATACTAATTTATTGGTTTAGAATTTTTGCTTATTTTATCTTATTTTACTTATTTATTGTTTTTTGCATATGTTCATCCTTTTTGATTTTTAAATAACATAGAAGTTATTTTTGTGTTTGCATTTTGAGAGAATTTCTGATTCTTTATCTAGTAATTTGTGTTGGTCTGAGAAGGTAATTATAGCTATTTTCTCCTCCAGACAGAGTTTACAGTTATTGGATTTATTGTTGTTTTATGTTTATTGTTGATTTATTGTTGTTTATTGCTGTTTCTTATTTTTCATGATATTTTTGGTTTGAATTGGGTTTTATTTTTAATTATCCAGATATATTTAGAAAGCAAGGTGCTGTTCACATATTTACTATTTGTGAATGATGTATTGTATGCATAGTTCTTCTGTTTCCAGTGTCATGCAGTTATTGCTTTGTATATTTTTTCTTTGTTGTCTGCTGATTTTACAGTGGCTTTGTATATTACATTGTTTTGTAAGCAATTGCCATTTAAGGGACACATGAGTTTGATTTGTGTAGGTGATTTGTTGGTTGTTTTCTGCTGCTTTTTTAATTATTTCTGTCTTGTTCTTGGTGCAACTGTAGCTAATTTTTATTATGTTTTTGTTGAATATCTTGTGTAGAGAGTTTGAAGGTGGGGAGTGTTTGTCTATGAGTTTAATGAATATTTTCTATGTTTTTAAGTTTTTTTTGTAGGGTGGGATGAACCATATGATAATTCTTTTTCTGTTGATTTTTTGTACTGAAAGAAATAGGACACGATAAACTTTTCTGAAATGGAAACTATGATCTGGAAATGGAATGAAAGCAATAATAGCACATACCTGAATCCATCATAAAGAGCTTAGGATATGGAATTAGTAAATACTAAACATTTCAAATATCTCAGCATATGAATCACTTATGAGAAATTTAGTTTAGGAAAAAAAGAAATTGAACATAGAATAGACTGCACCAGAGGTAGTTTCAGCCAACACTGCAAATTGCTACAAAATCAAAACACCAACCTGAAAACTTGAGTTATATTCTTAGATAGCCTAATAGTCAGATCAAGACTTTTATATTAATGACTAACCCATATCTAAACTATCATTTGTATACAACTACTTTCTAAGATCAGTGGTTAAAGACTTTGAGTGAAGCCCGAGAGATTTGGCAAAGAGCGTTGTTCTATGATCATTGTGAATGGGTGTTACAAATAACAACAAAGAACTGTCATAACAAACAAAATCTGTACCAAATAATACAAACCACATCACTTGAAGACTACCAACAGCAACAACATCCAAAATGGATAGCACATATAACTTGAAGAGAAAATGATATAATCAAGATGTTGACATGCCACAATATTCCAAATAAATGGTTAGGAATGAAACCGCCATCAATACTAGAAAGAGTGGTAACAGCTACTGGATTTAAAAAAAATCTCACCATGGTCGATTTGTCAGGAAGGAGACTTCCTGATGTTATCAGTCTGGAGAGGTTACGATCTCAGCATGCGGTGCCTTTGAAAAGTGTCTGAAAACCATGCCACGGGTTGATCCAAGCCTTGTGAGTGAAATTGGGTAGATGGAACCCTTGGAGACTGTCAAAATTGTGCTAGCATGAAATTATAAATCATTGTGTCTGAGTGTGCTGGTGCTGTTCAGATTGTTGATCATTCTAGATAATACGCTCTCTCCCAGAAACTCTAACTATGGTCTGCTCAGCATAGTTGTAGTACAAATGGGCTCTGTGGGTGTTGAACAAACACAAATGTGCCTGAGTGAGAGCCTGCAAAATATATATATATATATATATATATGCACACTATGCCAGAAACAATATGTAGGAAAATCTGAATGGCCCTTTAACTACAGAATTAATAATTATCGTAAGCGAATTAAATCGACTCCCTATGAGCAGTTATTACCTGTAGAACAACATTTCCGCCTAGAAAAACACGATTTCAAAACCCATGCCAGATTCACTATAATTGAGAGAATAGAAAAGTTCAGAGCAGATAACATTAGAAAATTTTAGAGTCCCATGAAAATAAGTGGATACAACGTCTAAAAACACAATACCCAGCCGGGCTAAATCACAAATTTAACAACATATAATGGTAACAATCAAAACCAAAACCTACCCACATTTCTCACCCACACAAGACAGACATGCTTAAGGAGGAATGGAGGCCTCACACTTATACACTCACCCACACGATTATACACACGTACACACACCATACTCACTCACTCCCTAATGAGCCAAATGATAACACACACCTACAGCAATGCACACGCTTACACATATCATACTCACTCACTCCCTAAGAACCAAATAACACACACACAAACACTAAACAGAGACACATCCCCTCACCAGGTCCAATAAAACTGTCAAACTGACCAGAGAATTCAGGATAAAATGTATCTTATCCAGTTCTTATCTCAAATAACAACTTAAAAGAGACTGTTTGACCAACACAAGGAATGTTAAAAGATTCATGTTAAAAAAGATAAAAAATAAAAAAACAAATGAAAACTACAGACAAAAAAAGTTCATTTTCTCCAACAAAAGACATTCATTTCTGTAGTTCCTTGCTAACAGCAAGCAGAAATATTTCGCCTCCCGATGATGGCCATTTCAGTCGAAACTAGTCGAGGAATTTAAATGGAATAATAATAATAATAAAAAAACGAAAGAATATTAATCTACAACCCAGTGTGTCTAATGATTTTAATTTTTAATTTTTTAATTTTTAATTTTCTTATTGTTTTAAATTTATATATATATATAATATATATATATATATATATATATATATATATATATATATATATATATATATATATATATATATATATATATATATATATATATATATATATATATATATATATATCTGTATAAATGTATTTTTATATAGTCATACATACAAAAATGTATATATCATGTTTACAGTACCATCTTCTGCCTAATGTTAGGGAAATAGAAGTGTCTTTAAAGTTTGGCTCTTTGTTTTAGTCCAGTTTACAAACATTAGCAAAAATTCACAAGTGAAGAAAATGACCTTTCAGAAACATTGGTGAGTATTTAAAAACACATCTTTTGTCTTCATTCTTGACCGAGAAAATAACCATTTTGGGACAAAAAGTTACATCTTCTTCAAGACATATGCAACCATTGCTGTCTCCAACTTCCTATCTTTTGTAGCTCTAAGCAATGTTAGGCCCTTTACTATCCATTTCAAGCACTGTTATGCTGTTTATTTACACAAGCTCATTAGGTAGGTTACTCACTGTTTCCATTAGCTTTATTGCCCGCAGTATGTCCTTTGAGTGTCATTTTCTCTAAGCCCTCTTTCCTTATGTGTGCCAGAAATTTCAACCTTCTCTTTCTGAATCTAAGTGAAAGTATCATTTTTATTTCTATTTTCTTTAAAATTTCTAATGCAAAAAGGATTTATCATAAGAAAATTATGGCAAGATTGAGAGATCTTTTCATATCTTAACCTAAATGTAATATTCTACTAGTGAAGTCCCATAGACTCCTCAGGAGTATGGAGTCACAATTCTCAATGATACTAGGCATTCCTGTAGCAAGTAGCTTTTTAAGTTGCAAGCCCAACCAGTTTTAGATTCATAGTTGTCATTCTTTTAGACTGGTTGTCAATCAAATCCTAAGAGCCTAGCCTGCTTGCTATTTCACATAGCTGGTGGGGTGAGGGTGAAGAGATAGATTCATACCTTTCCCAAGTATATTTGCACATAAGTGAATGTAACAAACTTGACTGAAATTTGAACTTTGTTCTCTGATTTCTCATATTGAGCTGCAGTCTATTACACCACCCACACATCCTAAGGCAATGTAAACTATGAGGAGGAAACACTTCTCTGTATTTGGTGGTATTCATAAAGAACTCTTTATTATAAATTGCTGGAATTTGAACAAACTGTTACTGTACAACATTGCAGTTTGCAACTGGCCAATCTGAATGAAACAGTGAAGCAGAAAAAAAAAATTAATTTGGACAAAGTCAGCTGATAATTTTGCTGTATAACAATGTCTATCCTCATGTTGCAAATTAGATCCTCACCGTCTGATCTCATCTTCTAATTTCCACAAATCTAATCAACGATAATGTATTTATTATTTAATTGATACATAAGCATAATCATTTTATGTCAGATCATTAATTAATTTGTGATTTCCTAAACTTATTATTCTTTTCTAATAGATGATGACAATTCTAAAGTATTTGCACACTGGGAGGATTCTATGCTTTTTGCTACCATAGCTACCAGAGAAGACAATTATGTTGTAGAGGTATGTATATCACACAATTTTATTATGATTATTTTTTTAAATTTGTTTTATGTTTCAACATGAAGTATATATATTTACTGTGTTTTTAGTAGCAAATTAATTTTGACTGGGCTGGGTTGCATATCCAATACACGAGTTGGACTACTTTACTATTTATGCATAGTTAGGGATGAAGTTTTTATTTAAACTTAAAAAAAGATATCTGATAGTTTTTGCCTCCTCTTTTGATATTGGCCAAATCTTAGCACATGACTCTAACAACTCATCTTTTCATATGTGCATAAATTAAAATTATTTACTAAGGGTAGATTGCATTAATACAGAGTTCTGAGAATAGCTTGATAATGGCTATTACTGTTCATATTTATTTGATGATACCAACTTTGACACAAGGTTATATTTCAAGAGCTCTTAAAAAGGATTGAATATATTTTTAATAGTTTGTCAGATCAGTCCATTAACTTCTGTATTTTAAATAATTTTCCTTCATTCTCTATTCTCACTTTATTTCTTTTTAGCCTTTCTCCATTTTGAATGAAGTAATATCCATACCAGAAATGATTTTACACCCACTTCGACCAGTTTTCAGCTGTTATATTCATCATAACAGAATAATGAAATATTCTTCATTTAGTGCACAAATAATGGGAATTTCTCTCTGAACTTCACATGGAAACTAATTAGCTTAAAGAATTCAAAAGAAATTTGATTGTATTTATTACTTTACCTTCAAAATACTTTAATTTGCATTTTAAAAAAAATCATCACGCTTTCAGAAACTTAAGTTAAGGAAGATTTTATGTAATGAGGTTATCCAAAGTACAAAGGCATATTAATTAATTTAAAATCTATATTTAATTAATTGTTTTATGGGTTAAAAAGGCATTTCAAGAATGTACTTAATATGTGTTTTAATATTTATAGTGGATAGACATGCAATTCAAAAATTGTTAAATTTTATTTGCATTGTGTTATATGTTCCGTATTGTGTACTGTGTAAGAAAATGTTTAAGGAAAAAGCCTCCTCTTTTACAATTATCTCCCTTCACCTTGTTTTGATTTGCAAACTTTGGCTTTTGGCTTCAGTACCGAAGTCCATTTGATAATTAAGATAGCATTGTTTTGTTGGTTCAGTAAAACTTTTTCAAATTAATAATACATTCTAATGGGGATATTATTCAAGATACAATATTCCCAGTTTGTTTTTCCCCATTATAGGCAGTATTTTATTTGTGATATAGTAATACCATAATACATAGATGGAACAGAATAATTAAAAGAAATGAATGACAGCCATACATGGTTCTCAAAGAAATTTTTTATGCTGATACATATATACTTATCACTAATTTGTCTCCACACACAGAAACTATAACATATGTATACAGCAAGCAGTGTGAAAGGGACAAAAAGGGGGAGGGTTATACTTGTAATATTTCCCAATGGGAAAAAGGGCAGGTCAGTGGTGTCTTTTCAGTGCCATGTGAGACCAAGTGAGTTCCTCTGTTAACCTTACCAGTGTGGGATTACACATCTGTCTTCTTTGTAGCCTACATAACAACTGGTGTGGGCAAACACATCTAGACTTCAGGCTTGATAAACAGTAACTGTCTGGGCTGTCTATAAACTGGCATCACTCACTGGCTGTCATATGAACCTCATAACTTCATCTCAGCCAAGGGGAGATAATTGCCTTTGCATCCCCACAAGTCTCATTGAAAGTATTAGAATTTAGTGTATGAACTTCCCTTTTTACTATATATGGGAGATGATTCTTGTTTTAGAAGTGTTGATGTAATGTACAATTTTGTCACTTGAATATTCTTGACTGTTCTAATTGAAGTGGATGATAGCACCTTTTTTTTTCCTGTTATTATGAATTCTGTCTGAGAGTTAGCTTTTTTTGAAAGAGAACACTTGCAATAGAATAACCTTTGGATGATGGGATCTCAATTGAATTACAGGTAATGATTACCTAATTGGTAAATGACATTCAGTGATGAGTGGGTGCTTGACAGAATACAGGATAACCACCTATTTTATATGATGGTGATTATCAGAGTGGCATTGTATCTAATCAATGCTTTATATTTATTAATAAAATATGCCTTTACATCATTCAAGTATTCTATCAGTCTATTAGCATTACATTATTTTTCCTTGTTGTCTTTCTCTCCTAATAAGCCAGTAAACAATATCTTACCTTCTCTCCTAATAATGGTTACCTGGTTACCTCTACTAAAATGTCATGAATTGTGTATTACAAGATATGGAGCTTGGGAAAATCACTCTGATTGTTCTGATAAGAAAAGAACTCATGCATTTGTTGGTGTGGGCCTCAGACCCAACACAGAGTCCTACATCAAGTACCTTGAGGAAGTAGTGCTGTCCTGGGTCAAGACAGTGTCTGCTGGAAGGCCCTATGTCTGGTACAAGACTTTGCACCATGCCACAGAAGAAGGAGAACCCAGTCATGGCTGTCAGACATTTTCTGTGACCACATCACCCCTTACATCTGACCACTTAACTCCCCAGACTGCAACACTCTTGATTATTATATGTGGAGCACAGTTGAACAAGAGACCAACAAAACTCCTTATAATACCAAAGATGAACTGAAGGCAAGGTTTATGGCAGCATTCAACAAGGAGAGTGTCCATTGCAGGAGATTCCGAAGTCATGTGGAGACTGGGGTTGAAGCCAATGGTGATTTTATTGAATAAATTTACTCTTTAGTATCTTAAGATATTTTTGTGTATATTTGGTAAATATTCATTTTTGGAAATTTATATGACTATTTATCCATCATTTTAGAAACTGCACACATAGTGGTCTTCTGTATAATTACCACTGTTTTTTAATCATTTCAACCTAAGCAAGGCAATAATGCAATTAGGATACAAGGGGTTACTGGGAGTGAAAGAGAATGAGAAGACTAGTGAGGAGAAAGGACAATAAAACAACAAGTTTAGGAAGAAAGAAGATGGCAATTGACATTGCATTTAAACTTTTGAAGACTATAATTGGCAAGGAAGCAAGAAACCAGAAGTGTTCCACAGGCAAGATGTGCTAGAAAAGAAAACATTAGAATCAAACTTCCAGTTATATCAAGCTACTTCAACAGTAAAATGATGAGACCTAATAGCCAATATAGTAATATTCCCAAATTCATGCAGTCAAGGTACCAAGGAAGAAAGCTCATCAGAACAATTACCATAGAAATATTTGTAGAAAAAACATAGGCAGCCACATCACTTTGGTGAGAAAGTGTAGTTGAGATGCCAGGGCAGGACTGATTACATTACAGACTCTTCTTTGAATTTTGTCAAGAATATTAATATATATAGTAGGATCCCAAGACCAAATATAGCAGCAGTATTCAATGCATAGTCAATGGGTAGATTTATAATTTATTCATTTGTTTTTTTTTGTTGTTTTTATTTTTTTTTGGTACTGCCTGAAATGTACAAATGTAGTGTAATAGATTGTTTGTTGTAAAGAACACACAAAATTAAGTTAACACTTGACCCACCCTCACTATAATAATCTTGATGTGGTATTTAGCATGCTACCATTTCCAAAGGAACCTAACCTTCCACCTCCCAACATTTATGTAAAGACCACATTTATCTGAAAGAAATAGCTCATTACTCTGCACCTGGTAAACATTAGAAAGAAACATAGATATATCTCTAGTATTTAGCTCCTTTGCCTGTTTAGTCAGTTTCATATAATTTACATTTTCTTTGGTTATTCTCTTAACTAAATAATTTGGACTCTAAAACTTGAACAATTTCTTATAAGTTGAATGGATTTTGCATAAGATTATGTCAATATTCATAAAGTATGCTTGTGCTGAGTCTTTGTGGAACATAAAGTCAAAGCCATGCTAAGTGCAAAATCAATAGCAAATTAATTTTTGACGGGCCTGGGTTGCATGTCCAATACATAATGCGGATGATCTAACAGTGCTAAAGGGCTTCAAATGGCTTATTATTCATATGACCTGCCATACCATAAAATTGTACCAAACCACCCACATGCTCTTTGTATTCCATTGATGAGATGCAAGTTCCACTTGAACAGCTGTTTCTCATGAACTGCTGCTTTATTGACTGGATGCCAAGAAGATACTTTTCCAGACACTAAAATCTTAAACCATTCAAGTCTAGGGTAAAATACTATCTTCTTAAACTATGACTTTTACTCTACCTTGAGTAACTCTTGGGACTTGTACAGTGTGAACACAAAAAACATTGTGGGTAAAGAAGTGGTTTCATGCCTTTTCCAAGTGCATTAATGAGATTTGAATGCAAATTTCTATTCTGTGATGTTAACTGTTAGAACCCCTGCACCTCTTTGAATAATAGGAAGAAGTTAATGTAGCTGTCTAATCCAGATATACACATTAACAGATAAATTCAGCCCACTATCAAATATATTAGGTAGAGGGTTGAAATGCTTGTGCATTAAAAGTATAGGCGTTAATGTTTTTTGATTAGCATTTAGATTGTATAAGTTAATTGAGATATTTTCATCTGGCAAGCAAAATTATATACAACTAACATTATTTTCATACAGTTCAACAGATAATGTAGCTGTTTAATCCAGACATTCAAAGATATTAACTAAAAAATTGTGATGAGATTTGTAACATTGACATTACTTCTAAAGATTAAATAGTACAAGTAGTTATAAAAGTAAAATCTAGTTAGTACAATATGTAGTAAATAAATGAACTATGTGAAAATGAAATATAATGGAAAAAATAAATGTCTGTTAGACTTGTGTAAGTGAAATATAATCTTTAACAAACAAGAAAAATAGTGGAATTTTTAACAAATTTGAAAAATTCATTAAAATGAAATGTGAATAAAATTTTTAAAAATTGTTACTTATCAAGTCAAAACATAAGTAGATTAATGTTCTTATTACACTAATTATTAATCCTGTTGAATCCCTCTGAAATCCTTGTTATGTGTCCACAAAATTTCAGCTTT